AAGGTGGTTAAAACTAGACGGTTGTCTCTGAATGTAATCTTATTGTCAGCAGTTTGAAGGAAATAGAGGGCACCAAGTTATCCTCCAGGCTCCACCTAGGTTGTATTGGCTTAGTACCGCAGATCTGCTATAAATGACCCTGTAAAAATAAATGGATGTATCATTCATTCTGTAGGTAGTTAGCGCCTATCCAATACATATTCTATATCCTTCTGATATTCACAGAAGCTGTCAAAACAAGGAGGTGCATTGAATCCTTAGGCCCCGTCCCAATTCTCACCCTTGCCCTTAAAAAGCACACTTGACGGACGCAAACACACGCATGTGTGTCTGTATGCGTCTGTCTGAGTGCGTGATGTGCATCAATTCTTTACCTAATTATAGAAAATCTTCATATGAAATAGAATTAAAAAAAAACTCATTTTAATAAATACTGTGTTTCAAAAAGTCATATCTGTGTCAGATCTTATCTGTGGTTAAATCAGACACTTTGATAATGCGTGTGACGTGGAACACGTCTGCTGCGTCATTTGCATATTGTCCCCTAGATCCAGGGGTGTCCCAATTCTTAGGGAGAATGTTGTGAGTGCACTCACCACTGGGAAGGCACTTTTCTGTGAGGGCACTCACACCTAAGGGCAAGGGTGAGAATTGGGACGGGGCCATAGACTGTCCTTGACTTAGCGTTGAAACTGGAGGCTACGCATGATCCAGTGTGAACTCCCCTTAACGCTATGAACCAACGCCAAGCTGGGAAATCCCAAGTAAACCGAGTTTAAATGTCAGAGCTGGCGCTCTGCCCCCCCGTGACCGAATAGAACACATATACAAGACACATGCAACCGATAGCGCCACATATAGTCCGAATAAACAAGCAGGTCTTACCGGCTTCCTCCTTTCTTTGATTTGAGGATACATCTACTCACAAGAGCACGTAAACTAACTTTAACGCGCTATTTTTAACCAAAAAACCCGGACGTGCCACCCCGCCACTTCAATTACTCCAGGTTAACCATGACTGTTCTGGGCACACGAGCACAGACGCAATAAGCGCTACAGTGAACGTTGATTGTCTTAAGATTTTGATGCTTGAGACCATGATTTTCAATTGATTTCAATAAAAAAAATTATAAAACATAAAATAAAAAATTCAGGTGGTGACCGTGACACCTGCAGTTTTTATTAGAGCTCAAAGCAATGTAAACAGTTGATACAATGAAAACATTATATATATATATATATGTGGCAGTAATTTAAATAACTTTGAGTATGTATCATGGAGCTGTGTTGTATAAAAAAATCAATACAATACTGAAGAGAAATGTAAATCATGCAATAAATTTGTCAATGTTCATTGTGAATTATTCACCTAACTGTAGTCGGCTACTCCCCAGCCAGATTTTTTGAGGAAAGGTAATATGATAATGGTATACCCATATTATACATGCATGACTATTGTAGTACTTCATCCACAACGCTACAATCACAGCTTGAAGCCTCTCCTTATAGGAATCGCTGAGTTACATTGTCCTTTAAAAATGTGAAGCAATTCATCAACTAAAATGTTAATCAAAATTGTTTTCCATTAGAATAAATAAGAATAAGCAGTTTTATATTCTGTAAAAATATAACTTAAATTTCAATAAACAGCGCATAGTCTCTAAACTTTCGACCTCTAAAGTATGTTGTGCTAAACCCCGCAAGATTTCAGACTCCAACATTTGAGCTCTTGCCAATTGTAATCTTTAATTGGAGTCTCGAGCGTAATGCCACTGAGAAATATTGTAACCCAATTTGTGTCTTCAATTCTGCGACAAAAAAACAAAACAAACATGCATAGGAAACAGATTGGAGGAAGACAGATTTGGCAGGTTTTTGGACAGCAGAAAGCAGCATTATGGATTTGCATAATGGCTGTTTCAATGGAACCTTAGTTTTGACACCTGCAGCTTCACAACGATCTTTCGAACTTTACCAACAGTAATTTGTTCAAAGTATGCAGGCTTGACTGTTCCCGTCAGTTAATGTGTAAATTATCTAAATAACAAATAAACATTGATTTTAATTTACGCTACTATTGTGCCCCAAATACAAAATAAACAAATTATTTTATTTGACCCAGTTCAATAAACTTCATTGCAGGTATCCATTGTACTTCAGTTTGTAGCAGTCAACGTTAATCAAAACTTTAACCGCATACCGCATTTCAGAGTACATCTGTTTAGCAAAGCGAGTAAGGTAGTGCAATAAATTTGGGATTGTCCATTTGAAAAACATTAAAAAGGACTAAAATACTGCGAGTAATTGAATAGAGCTTATATGATTGCCCTAACTTGCAACCAAAGTTCAGACTTTAAAGATTTCTTTAATCCGTGCCATGATTGAGGCATTCAATCCAATGCCACTGTTTCAAGATGTATGGCCACAAATATCGGAATAAAATATGTTGTCAGTGTGAGAAATGTAGTATTATTCCTCACACATAAATATCACACTAGTCTGGTGAGTCACGGGCCATAGCATTCATCATCGTTGTTGAGGCAGCACATCCAAGGCTTTTGTGCAAGTCTCACCGGTCACATCTTGCCCTTAGTGTAGCATTGAGGACACTTATGGTTTGCAATATGTCTGAATAACAAATGTATGTATGCCAAATTACCAGGTTACTCTTGGACAAGCCATTTTCAGTGCAGTTTAAAGTTATTTGAATAGATAAAATATAAATCAGGAAAAATCATGCATTGACTTGGAATGCTAATCTTGGCATAATGTGTTTCATGCAAAGTGTCTAAGGATTTTGGAAGAAGAACTGTGAGTATGTTTTTTTTTTTTTCATATATATATATATATAAAGCTCATAAAAAGAAATCAATAGAGCTGCTACAGAACAGATCAGGCAGAGAGAGGCACTGCTCAGCCAATTAGAGTCAGGCAAGAATGAAAAGGATGGACCATTAAAAAGGCCAGGTGTAGGTGATTACAGTAACAACAAAATTAAATAGAATTAAAACAATTGAGCCATTGGGAAAACTGTATAAGAATCTATATAAAAACTACATATACAGGTACTTCTTGCATCATGTAAGCAAAGCGTTATATTTTTTGTTCATGTATTCTCCGCTATAAAGCTTTTTGAATAAAGAAAAAGTGTCTTCAACCAAAGGTTTGAGTAAAGCTTTGTCACATGTCTGTGAGCCTACAGTTGATAGAACCACCAATATGGACATAACTTTGAACCAGACCTAAGCCTGGTCCTGTGGTCTAAACCAGACCCAACCCTGATTCTGAGGAAAGTTGTCATTCTGTAGAGATTTTGAACCTGAACTATTTTCAGAGTATCAATTCACCTAAATTAAGCTAAACTGACCCCTGACCAAAACCAAACCAGTTTCTAGCAGCAGGACAGAGGGGTCTCACGGTGGCATGGACTAAAAAAGGTTTCATGAATCATAACTCAATGTTTACCAACAAAATAGTTCAAGAGAAAAGGGTCGGTGCATGTTGCTATTGAATGAAGTGTGTCAGAAGGTCTCTGGGTTGTAATCTTATTATAGAAAACATCAACAGACAGCGAGGTGTGATATAATAGAAAGCTCCTGCAATACTTGCTGTAAACATTCATAATAAGTGAAATATATCTCACTTCTATTGCTCAATGATTAACATGCATGTCTAAGAGACAAGTTTATTATCAAGCCTGAAAGCGCACAGGAAAAAGTTAAGTAAAATAGAAAAGTTAAGAGACGAGCACAAGGAAAACTTGAGCAATAATTGTACATTTCTCTTGTGTGAGCTCAATAAAGTCTATCTTATCTTAACTTAATTTGACATGTTTTACTTTAGATGGATGCTGTTCATTTTATTATCAGCACCAATTAGATCTGTTTGTTGCAGATGTTTTTCCATTGTAGGCAGGCAGGTGTCAGTGATGGGGTAGCTCAAACCACAGATATAAGCAGCCAACTAGTATGAAGTTATTAAGCATAATGAACCCTTGGCTATAATCAAAATCATTCATACGTGTAAGAACTGGTGACGTGTACTCAGAAAGTCATATGTTGGGAAAAGACGTAAAGGCTTTCAAGTTTCTATTATTGCATGAAAATGGTATGTATAATGCAATATAATTAAGGCTATAACAAGTTAATCAATTCATTGCAGCTAAAAAATTATTCAAATAGTTGTCAACTAATCATAGAAATTGATTAATTCAGTTTTTTCAGATATCCATCCATCCATCCATTTTCTACCCTTTAATCCATTTCTGGGTCAGGGGGGTGACAATCAGAGATGCCACCCAAGTCTCATAGCACCAGCCCCTCACTGACCCTCTGCAGGTGATGAGTCCACAGGAGGACTAGTATGAAGTTATTAAGCAAACTGATTAATTCAGTTTTTTCAGATATTAACTGAATAATACTGTGAAGACGCTATTTGGCTCCCAACAAAGCAGCAATTATTGCAAAAACATGTACACTAATGCAACTAGATACAATTGGCAACAAACTATAACAATTGGCAACAAACTATAACAATTGGCAACAAACTATAATAATTGCCAAACTAAGATTTACATTTCAGCTGGAATAGAACTATAATTTTGTTTTGAAAGTTGTAGATTAGACAATAATATAATAAAATATGGCCATGTGCTAACGTATTAAACAAAAATATAAACCACAACCAATAAACAAACAAGCTCAAACACACATAAAATAGTTTCCATTCCATAATGTACGTTTTACCAACTCCTATTATTCCCAAATCTTTCAGAGCCTCACCAAAAAGATGTCTCTTTTGCTTTAGCAGAACAAGATTAAATGAATCCGCCTTGCCTTGAGAAAGATAAATACAAGAAGCCACAGTCTTCCTTTGATAAAGTCTCGCTGGACAGATGTAGTGTAACGGAGGCTAGCTGCCTCGACTTTGCTACATTTGTAAACACAGCCCACATGCTTGCACCTGAAGGAGAGGCCAAGAAAGCTGTTACTGCTACTTACCGAAGGTAGTACTGTTTTAAAGCAAACGCTGCATTCGAACAGCTTCGTGGAAAATTAAACTCCTCGCCCAGCTCACCCCATTGATTCTTCTCAGAGACCTACAGGATAAAATGAAATGCGGTTGTTAATATTTGACAGGCAGAAAAGGCTACACAATCAAACCTGAACTGCTATCTGTGACTGACTGGTCACCCTCAAATGAGCAGCACACGTCTTATCAACAACTTCCTCCAACCGTCAAAGGGATATGTTTAGAATTTTGTGAATCTGGTGCAAGATAAACAAGGAGCTCTTGATCAGTGTGGATGAGGAGAGGATCAAATACAGAATCTCGATCATGCTCAGTTGACTACAAGTTCATGGTTTTAAAACATTACTTGAAAGCAGAAAGAAGTGCAGTGTTTCATTTTGTTACGGAGGAATATAACTAGGGCTGCAACTAACGATTATTTAGATAATCGATTAATCAGGCGATTATTTTTACGATTAATCGATTAATCGGTTTATGTACTTATATTTTAGTTTTGCCAATTTTTTTCCAAGTAAATTGTTAACAAAGGGCCTTCATCATTCAACATAGACTTTTTAGAGATTTTAACCATTTTACATATTCATATCCACATCAAAAACTTAACTGGAGCTGTTTATTATGTCTTTGTAATCCTTTAGTGAACTCAATGTTGACCATCAAAACAAAACACTGACCGTTACATACTCTAGCAAATTTCACAAGGAGATTTCCAATAATGTTTTCACCATGAAAATCCTTAGGGCTTCTGAAGTAGTTTAAAATCCCGAACAAGGCTTATTTAAGTTGATAAACTGATAAATGTTTTTTTTTTTTTACATCTTTGTGCAAATTAGTTTAAAGATCAACTTTATGCCTAAAACAGTGAGTGTGGCGCCATCTTTTGCAAACAGTCAGTACTGCAGAGAGATGGTTTAAGGTGCTCACGCAGAGACGTAGTACTCCCGTGCCAGGCTAAGTCAGTAGCGCAGAGTTTACAGGTTACTCTTCTTTTTTAGAAGGTTCAAAGTAAAGTGCTCCCACACTTTGGATGACTTCGTTCGATTAGGTTTGTCTTCTGCTTTTTTCCTTTTCTTTCTCGAGCTTACTCCACTGCCGCTTGCCTCCGCCATCTTTCTGTATGCTGAAGAGAAGCTGTGCGCGAAGCATGTGACATAAAAGGAGGCCAGCTATTGGCTATTGGCTACTTCTCCTGCTGTAAAACCTCCGGTGGCTCATTACTGCCACCATTTGGTCACCGCAGAGTTAAAATATGCACGAAATGAGCCGCTTACGGCAAAATAAAAGTTATTTAGTTGTTTCAGCTCTAGAAAAAAATATTGAGATATTTATTTTTGCCCATATCGCCCACCCCTACCTTAAACCAATGCTCTTAAAACAGCTGTGTACAGTTACAGGCATCTGTGTACAGTTACAGGCATCATTAAAGTGGACACGCACACGTCGCTATGGCAACAACAAGGCTATCTGGCCCAATTCACAAAGGCTCAGAGGCGAGAGGCTTTCATATTCCCGTAAGTGTCTCTCTCAAGCATCTGAATCCTTAATGTGTTCTCTGTGTAGCTAACATTAGCACGAGACGTCTCCGGAGAGAGGTAGAAAAAAACAAGCGTGGACTGACCTGGCCGTCCGCGGAGAGGCACCTGCTGCTGGGTTTCCTCGCCGGGTCGTGGTGATGTTGGTAGCGGTAGTTTTCGTCCAGACCCTCGTGGTGACAGTCTTCAAAACTCAGGGAGGACTGAAGGTCGCGCTGGGTCTCGTTTTCCCAGTCAGTCCTGTGTAGAAAAATATCAGTCAGGTTGGTGATATACAAGGCCAGTTTCAATTCATTTTTGAAAACGCTAAAGCACAACAGCAGTCGTCTGAGGACTTTACAAAGAAGTTGGAACACAGGAAATGCAATTTTAAAACACAAACACATAGGAGCCATTGGTCGATACGGAGCAGGACGACCACTGTCCATAAAGGATTATAGATCACACAACTCATACATTCAACATTACTAAACAAGTCATTTAAATCATCAAAACAGGCCAGAGAGAGAGACCAGACAAAGAGAGACAGACCAGAGAGAGACAGACCAGAGAGACACAGAGACCAGAGAGAGAGAGAGACCAGAGAGAGAGAGAGACCAGACAAAGAGAGACAGACCAGAGAGAGACAGACCAGAGAGACACAGAGACCAGAGAGAGAGAGAGAGACCAGAGAGAGAGAGAGACCAGACAAAGAGAGACAGAGACCAGAGAGAGAGAGACCAGAGAGAGACCAGAGAGAGACAGAGACCAGAGAGAGAGAGAGACCAGAGAGAGAGAGAGACCAGACAAAGAGAGACAGAGACCAGAGAGAGAGACAGACCAGAGACAGACAGAGACCAGAGAGAGAGACCAGAGAGAGAGAGACCAGAGAGAGAGAGACCAGAGAGAGAGACACCAGAGAGAGAGAGAGACCAGAGAGAGACAGACACCAGAGAGAGAGAGAGAGAGAGAGACATCAGAAAGAGTGACCAGAGAGTGCGAACAGAGAGAGAGAGACTAGAGAGACCAGAGAGATAATAAAACAATCTCTGGGTAGTACACAGTCAAGATAGATACTTTAGAGATTCTGGGATGAGGAAGAATACAGATACCATGGTTTGTTTGCACCATGCTCCTCTTCATCGTCACTGAATTTGAGTTTTTCACTATAATCCACTTCTTCATGGAGTCCTGAGACAACAACAACAAAACTTTTAAAACCATTTTGAGTTATTCCGCGGTCACAGTGGCTCCGAGGCTCACCGGCCCATCCGTCTTCACACTCATTGTCGAGCTCGTCCAGGTCCTTTAGGTCTTCGGGGTTAATGATCGCAGGCCGGTGAGGCTTGTCCCCTGGTCTTCGAACGGGCTGCGAGGAGAGTCTCGGCGGACCGCGAACAAACCGGTTCTCTCTCCTCACGTCGCCGCTGCAGAGAAAAACACACAGATTTTAAATTATGATGTTATTCACTTGTCACTTTACTGGAACTTTACAGCCATTTTGGGGGTTCTCTGGTCTCTCTCTGGTCCTTCTCTCTCTCTGTCTGGTCTCCCTCTCTGGTCCTTCCCTCTCTCTCTCGGGTCTCTCTCTCGGGTCTCGGGTCTCCCTCTCTCGGGTCTCCCTCTCTGGTCCTTAGATTCCCAGCAGGAGGCCAGTCCCTGTGCTCCTCAGATTCCCAGCAGGAGACCAGTCCCTGTGCTCCTCAGAGTCCCAGCAGGAGGCCAGTCCCTGTGCTCCTCAGATTCCCAGCAGGAGGCCAGTCCCTGTGCTCCTCAGAGTTGAGTTTTATTATTGTATCATTCCATTATCTGTTATCATGTTTGATGTGAGCATGACCCGAGTGTGCCTTATTTCTGTTTTTAATCTGCTGTAATGTGCAACCAAGACACGATTTCCCCACTGAGCGACAAATAAAGGTTTAGCTTATTTGATCTTATTCAGCACTTACTTCACCAGCTCTGGTTTAGCGCAGCTCTGTCTAAAAGTTGGTTTGCTTTCAAAGCGTGTGGGGGCAGAGACGCTGAGCACGTGGTCCGATCCTGGGGCTTCCCGTGTTTCTTTAGAGCACATCTTCAAAGCAAAAGAAGGAGAAACGTGTTATCTGGTGCTTATGGGGGAGAGCCCAGAGGCAGTCCCACACATGTACTTACAAACGCAGGCAACATGTCGTGGTAGACGGCGGTGGAAGTGTGCTGGAGCTGGTACTGCAGGGCCGTGGGGACGGTGGTTCTGCGGACGGGCTGGCAGGGTCTGAGGGAGGGCTCTTTGGGGTCGAAGGTGGCCGTCGGAGTCAGTGCGGGGGCAGAGGGGGCGGGGGCGGTGGCGGTGGCGGAGGGAGGGTGAGTTGAGGCTGGGAGCGCCCCGGACTCACCCAAGGCAGTGGTCTTCCCCTCGGGGTCTGTGGGCAGCGCCAGGGTCAGGGATGAAGGTTGAAGGTTCCTGCCACCACCTTCCCTCCAGCTCGTGACATCTGGAGAGAGACAGACGCATGGATTTTTAAAGCAAGGCATGATTATTTGTATGGCACAGCTCATAAACAAGGCAACTCAAAAGTACTTCATAAAATAAATAATCACAGTACATTGAAAAAGAGTGAAGAAAATAATATAATGCATCAGTTTTGTACGGCGCTTTTTTGGACACGCTTCACAAGTCATTACTATTTTACCCCATAACACGGTGGTGATAAACTACTACTGAAGCCACAGCTGCCCTGGGGCACACCGACAGAAATGAAGCAACCAGACCAGTATAAACTATAAGCTCCTCCCACCACCACCAACCATTCACACACACACATAAGACTCGTTCTAATGTGGGGGAAGTGTCTTGCCAAAGGACACAACCACATTTTGGGGGGAGAAATCAAAACAGCAAATCATGCGGCCTCTCTCCCGAGTGTTGACTTCACATCGAGCTCGACAGTTTTTGTGTTATTGTCGCCGGATAAAAGTGTGCCTCGTGTGATTTTTGGTGTAAATATGTTTCGACAAGATTTTCGCTCAAAGACGACGAATGTGACAAATGTGGCTGGAATCGACAGGAATCTACCTCCGAAATACACAAAGAATCGTTTTTTCTGCGAGCGACATTTCACTAAATACGGCTCCAGAAGTGGACTCACACCTGGTGTTAATCCCACAATAAAAGAGACTCACGAGGAGCGTAGATCTACAAGTAAATAATTAGGGTCCGACTCTGGATCGAGGACGTGAAGGGTTGAGATTGCTGGGGAAAAACAGGCCAGAGAGAGAGACCAGACAAAGAGAGACAGACCAGAGAGAGACAGAGACCAGAGAGAGAGAGAGACCAGAGAGAGAGAGAGAGAGAGACAGACCAGAGACAGACCAGAGACAGAGATCAGAGAGAGAGAGACCAGAGAGAGACAGAGATCAGAGAGACAGAGACCAGAGAGAGAGAGAGACACCAGAGAGAGAGAGAGAGAGAGAGAGAGAGAGAGAGAGAGAAAGAGAAAGATCAGAGAGAGACATCAGAAAGAGTGACCAGAGAGTGCGAACAGAGAGAGAGAGACATTAATAATAGACCCTAATAAATAATTAGGGTCTGACTCTGGAGCGAGGACGTGAAGGGTTGAGATTGCTGGGAAAAAAAAGTGTATTCTCAGGTCTAGTACCGCTATATACCAGAACCTCCATGTTGTGTGTTTACAACAAAGTCAAAGCGTGAGGTCAGGTCACAGAGTGGGAGGGAGGAGGCGGACTCACTTCTATGCAAGAGGGGGCTATAAGTTAGTAAGTACGTAAGCAAAGTTTATGTGTAAAGCGCCTTTCACAGACCAGGATCAAGATACAGCTCTAAAAATCATACACACACAAGTCAGATTTAATATCATTTTTGACTTTTGTATCGCGTATGACCCAAATTATTATCACACATAGGCAGAGGATGGACTGTGAAACATTTATAACGAAAGATGGGACCTTTGCACTAGGTACTACAGCTTTAAAAGGGTGTTGGCGTGCTATCCGGACCAGGGACTTACTTTGGGGGCGGAGGCTTGGTCCTGGCCCATACGACGGATCGAAGCCGCTTCTTTCCTTGCCAGCCTTGTCCTGTTCTCCAGCTGCTTTCAGTGTGGGAAATTCCTCGTGAGAGAAGGGTTGAAGTCGGCTTGAGGCCCTTAAACCATCCAGCTCTGCTCCCTTTCCGTTTAGCTGGGCCCATTGCTTTGGTCCACCTGTGTTTGTGTTCTGGAACGTACGAGGAGGACAGTAACCGACGCGTTACTCACAGGTAATCACAACAGTAGTTATCTCAGAGGACTTAACAAAAGCTGTAGATCAGAGAATCAACACAGAGCCATTGGTCAATAGGTGCAGAGACCAAATAAGGAGCGTAAATGTTGTTGAATGTCAAGTTTCCTGGATCATCTCTGTCCTTACTTAGACCCTGCTGAATCTGCAAAAAACAACCTGCACATATGTGGGACTGTACAAAGCTGCTATTGCTAGGTTTGCACCAGGCTAGCTCTATAGCGAAATCCGGGATTGCACCACAGAGCCACGATTCAGTGAAAATCCTGACATTACAGTCCAATAATCTCGTCCTAGTCTACAGTGTTTGAGCAGAGTTGGGGCTTGGATAGGCTCAGGTTTGGGCAGAACCGTTTCAGGCTTAACTTTTCAGGCAAAGCAAGTAGCCGGACTCACCTCGGGGTTGGCTACTGGAGACGGTTTCTGAAGATTGGAGACAGATTTCTGTGAAGCCTGCGGCGGCTGCGACTCCTGCTGCTGTTGTATTGATACAATAGAACTGTGTGCGACAAAAACAAAACATGTCACACGCCTGTTGTATGGTGATTTCTCACATGAATTAAAATACTATACTCTAGACTGAAATAAAATCTCTACGCAATTTTTAACTTATTTTTTTTAATATCACTTTTGGCAGTCTGGTTAGCAGCATGAGGCTCTGGGACTAAGTGAAAGTGACACATGTGGTTCTATAGTGACAAAACCGAAATCATTGTCTTTGGTCCCAGAAACAAACAGAGGGCGTCATTTGTCAGCTTCAGTCTCTCTCCCTCCTGCCTTCAGACAAGGTGAGAAATTTAGGGGTAATACTGGACTCAGACCTAAATTTCAATAGCCACATAAAATCAATAACATCAACAGCTTTTTACCATCTAAAAACATTGCCAGGATCAAAAACATAGTGTCTAAAGCAGACTTGGAGATTCTTATCCATGCATTTGTCTCCAGTAGGTTAGACTACTGCAATGGCCTGCTCACAGGTCTGTCCAAACAGGCTGTAAAACAGCTGCAGTACATTCAAAATGCAGCAGCTCGAGTCCTGACTAGAACCAGGAAGTACGACCATATTAGTCCGGTCCTCAGGTCTCTGCACTGGCTTCCTGTGGCTCAGAGAATAGACTTTAAAACAGCTCTGCTTGTTACAAGTCTCTCCATGGCCTCGCACCAAAATATATTAGTGACATGTTAGTCCCATATGAACCAGCCCGGACTCTGAGGAGTACAGGGACTGGACTCCTGCCCGGACTCTGAGGAGCACAGGGACTGGACTCCTGCCCGGACTCTGAGGAGCACAGGGACTGGACTCCTGCTGGGACTCTGAGGAGCACAGGGACTGGACTCCTGCTGGGACTCTGAGGAGCACAGGGACTGGACTCCTGTTAGTGCCCAGAGTCAGAACTAAACATGGGGAGGCTGCTTTTCAGATTCATGCTGCTAAAATCTGGAACAATCTTCTGAAAATGTGAGGCGTCTACTCTGTCAATGTTCAAATCCAGGTTAAAGACAGTTCTGTTTGCCTGTGCTACAACTGAAGGTTTTTATCCTTGTGTAATTGGAAAGTTTTAATGGTTTTAATTTTGTGTGTGATTTTTAAGGTTTTAATTGTGATTCTGGTGTTTGTTTTATGTGAGGATTTGTGCCTTGGGTGATGTGGTATGATGGTTCTATATCGCACATTCTGACATTAACCAAATGATTATTTTTGGACAAATGAGTATAAGTAAAGTGACATTCTGCCTCCTCACCTCTTTTGATCGGGTTGTTCCTGCTTGTTTGCCCATCCTGTCCCGTCTTTGGGCACAATGACCACGTTTGGATCGTTTCCTTTGTTTTCGGATTTTAGACTCGGCAGATGAGCAGGTGGGGGCATACGCCGGGCTGTTGCCACTTTGCCAAGACTCTGTAAGCCATGTCGAGGAACTACTGGACACAAAGGGGAAGGTGGAGAGAATTACAATCCTTTTGTTGCCAGTGAACGTAACAGAAAGTAGGAATCTGAGTAACTCTTCAGATTAGCCCCCGCTAGCAGCTAACACAGTGCTAATGAGTGTACCCTATTCAATTCAATTAACTTTATTTACAAAACGTCATAGTAATACCGCATAAACATTGCAATTTAAAAAGTTTGTAGATGCTTTGTAAAAGGTTACCACACAGGACGTTGTATATTCTTCCCAAAAGCAATATCTTTATACAATTCTAAACCAATTTCTTAAACATTTAACCTCTTTCCTTGACGCCAACCTTAGCCCTAACCCACATGGGAGAGAGTCAGTTTGTAGCTTAGCCATGTGGAATAAGGACTAATAAGTGCTTAATAAATAAATATCAAAACATGTCATGGTAATAACACTGCTGGCTTACAATTGTCTGGTATAGAAGAACGAAACTGTTATATATAATAGCCTTGTTGTTGCTATAGTTACCAATGCATTATTACACTGAGGAATTGTGTGTATTGCGTTATGCAAAATGTGTGTTGTTACTAACTCTGCCTTGTCCTTGCCCAAACTAACGGTAGAAAATAAAACAAAAAGGCCTTTATCACTTAATTAGCTGCTAATTAGCGAGGTCTGACCTAAAGAGTGACCGGGATTTGCTTTGTGTGAATGGTGCAGACAAGTTTATTGAATAATTCATTTATTTTGAACCTGCTCAATACGTATTTTTACATATATAAACTAGTACATGGTTCGAAAAGGGGTTGGGTGAAACCCATACTAACTCTGATCATAAACATGCACAGTTTTAACAATACTCTCAAACATACAACTGTATGATGGTATAAGACAGACAACACAAAACACACACACACACACACACACACAGACAACACACAGGCCCAAACACTGTCTGAACCACGGGAACACAAAAGGGAATATATATAGATTATTGCCATTGTAAGTCACACTAGACAGAGCGGACCGCATCTACACCCGTGGACCGCATCTACACCGCGCGGACCGCATCTACACCCGCGGACCGCATCTACACCCGCGGACCGCATCTACACCCGCGGACCGCATCTACACCCGCGGACCGCATCTACACCCGCGGACCGCATCTACACCCGCGGACCGCATCTACACCCGCGGACCGCATCTACACCCGCGGACCGCATCTACACCCGCGGACCGCATCTACACCCGCGGACCGCATCTACACCCGCGGACCGCATCTACACCCGCGGACCGCATCTACACCCGCGGACCGCATCTACACCCGCGGACCGCATCTACACCCGCGGACCGCATCTACACCCGCGGACCGCATCTACACCCGCGGACCCTATCTACACCCGCGGACCGCATCTACACCCGCGGACCGCATCTACACCCGCGGACCGCATCTACACCCGCGGACCGCATCTACACCCGCGACCCTATCTACACCCGCGGACCGCATCTACACCCGCGGACCGCATCTACACCCGCGGACCGCATCTACACCCGCGGACCGCATCTACACCTGCGGACAGCATCTACACCCGCGGACCCTATCTACACCCGCGGACCCTATCTACACCCGCGGACCGCATCTACACCCGCGGACCGCATCTACACCCGCAGACCGCATCTACACCCGCGGACCCTATCTACACCCGCGGACCGCATCTACACCCGCGGACCGCATCTACACCCGCGGACCGCATCTACACCCGCGGACCGCATCTAACCTGCGGACAGCATCTACACCTGTGGACCGCCCTGCCCGACCCGCCTGGGAGCTGCTTCAGTCCTGCACCGGACCTGTCCACGTTCAGCGGCCGCTGCGTGGCCCTGGTCCACGTTCAGTAGCTTAGGTCCTGGACCTACAGCCTCAGTCCTCGTTCTACAGTCTGAGTCCTGGATCTACAGCCTCAGTTCTCGTTCTACAGTCTGAGTCCTGGATCTACAGCCTCAGTTCTCGTTCTACAGTCTGAGTCCTGGACCTACAGCCTCAGTCCTCGTTCTACAGTCTGAGTCCTGGATCTACAGCCTCAGTTCTCGTTCTACAGTCTGAGTCCTGGATCTACAGCCCGTCCGTCCGTGTGGAGCGGATCCCTGTCTCAATGTTGGTCTCAGAGGTTTCTCACTTTTTTCCCACTGGGTTTTAGAGTTTTTCCTCTGATGCAGGAGTTTGTTGGACAGTTAGTGTCTAACAAGAAGGACTGATGATCCAGGACACTTTAACATTCTACAACATGTATGACATTTATCAACATGTATTCTATATTTTTTTTGTGTCTTCTGAAATTTTAAGTCTATTATTTAATTTGTTCATTTCTAAATCCTTTGGTGAGCTACGTGGAAGGGGTGGCAAGCTACAGGTTGGAAACTAGGCTTTTGCTTTGAGTGTATGGTGCAGACAAGTAATAAAAAACAACATACATACACACAAATAAGGCATGAATAAACACACACAATAACAACAGTGCAGGTCATTCAACAGCCATCATCACGTTGGAACATTACCTGTATTTTTGGGGGTTTCTATTGATTTTCCCTTGTACTTGTCAAAAAGGCTGAGCGAGGAATACTTGCTTTTCCCATCCTTGGACTTGGTAATTTGCCCCAAACGATCTGACATTGCGATGTAATGTCATCGAGTATGGAAATGTGTCTTTACTCCTCTTCCCAATGCCTTCGTGTGCTGCGGGGAAAAACAGAAAACAAATCGCCGTCAACATAAACCTTTGTTTGGAGTCGACACAGAAGGAGTATAAGGAGAGCTCAGAGTGTTAAGGGAAGAAAAACTCAGATCTATACGTTTAAAAATACCATACGGAAATAAGCACATTATAAGTAGGAATGCATACATTATAGAGGTAGGAGATAAAAAATAAGCAATAAGGTTTGGACTGTGTAGAGTAGGGCAGTGAGTAACAAATATTTTGATAGTAGACATTTTTCCCGTTAGTTTAAGGCAGGGGTCTCCAACGTTTGTCGATTAGAGCTACTTTCATAAGACAGAAATGACAGAAAATCATCATTAATGCACTATTAGACGCACATCAAGCCTTTAATTTCAACAACGCGCCTTGTATAAGACAATAAAGGTATAGTCTGATAATGTGCCTTATGATCGGGTGCGCTTTATAGTGCGAAAAATACGCACTATAAGGCGTATAGTAATAACTACAGAGGAATAACTACGTACAGTGACGACAACAGAAAATCACAAAGAACACACATTTATAATACGCCAGGACAGAGCAGTAACCTTGCATTAACTAAAACCTTTATAGTCAGAATAGAATCAAAAGTGAATCCTGCGTTACATTCTTGAGTCCTTCGGGGAGCTACCTGAAATGGGGTAGGGGGCTACTGATAGCTCCTGAGCCACAGGTTGGAGACCCCTGGCTGAAGGATTAAGATTTATAAGTCATTGTTAAAGGTTTCACTAAAACAAAACGCAACACAAGGATGTTTTCAGAGACGAGTCGAGACAAAATTCTATTCAAAAATGCATTTACTTCTTCAAAGAATCCTCCATTTGCAGCAATTACGACATTGCACCAAAAACCAGACATTTGCAGCTAGAAGTGTCATTTTCCACATAAGAAATGTATAGAGTGTATTCCTTTACAGTTAAGACTAGTTTGAAGTTATCTTCATTGAAAAGTACAGTTCTTTTCCTTAAAAAATAAGGACAGTTCAATGTGACCCCAAACTTTTGATCGGTAGTGTACGCTTTCAGTCAGAACCAAGAGTCTTTAATCATAATTATGCACCGGTTTTATTCTTGCGCTTATTTGGACAAAGACGCTTCAAGAATACCTATCCATTCACTCTATAACAGTGAAGATAAATTACTACTGTAGCCTGTAGCCACTAGCCACATCTGCCCTGAGGCACACTCAGTCTGTGCCATCGGCCCCTCCCACCACCACCAACCATTCACACACACACCAGACTCATTCTAATGAGGATGAAGTGTCTTGCCTAAGGACACAACAAAAATTTGGCACTTCACATCCGGCCCACTATGGCACCTGGTGTTCCCGGAGGTCTCCCATCACAATACTAACCAGAGTTGATTGGATTAACTTGTCAGAGCAACACAACAGAACGTTGACGATAACAATAGTTCATGTATTATTGGCTTTATTAAGAACACACAAAAGGCCATAGATATATCTAAAAGACACAGAAACAGACCAAAACAAAAGACTGTAGACTCAGAGGCTCCGGCGCCAGTGAGTCCACAGACTGCAGAATAATGTCCTACACGTGTTTGTGGCTGTCTCGGTTTTAGATCTGCTTCTTTATTATGCTATAGTTGGAGATTTTATTATAGTAAAGAGTTCACTTATCTTGTGCTGTGTGCTCCTCATTACTACTGTTCTGTAACTGGTGCAGTTACAGAACCCCGGGAATCTGAGGAGCACAGGGCCTCGCCTCCTGTTGGTCTGGTCCCAGAGTCAGGACTAAACATGGGGAGGCAGCATTTCAGATGTTTGCAGCTAAAATTCAGAATAGTCTTTCTGAAAATGTGAGATGGGCCTCTCCCTGACGTTTAAGACAAAGTGAAAACACATCTGTTTACTTGTGCATACCACTGATTCTAATTTGTTGTTTGTTTGTTATCTGTTTTGAACCCCCATTTTAACACTAGTTTTAATCCCAATACTTTCATGCTCCGCTATCTTTATAAAGATGTATTTGTTTTAAATTTTCAGTCTGGGTTTTATTATGAAGCTCTTTGAATTGCCCTGTTTCCAGCTGTGATTAAAAAAAATGTTGGTTGGTGAGTGAATCCAATCACAGCTCAAATCAATGTTAGCACAAATTGTAATAGGACATTGTTGAATATTAATGTATTTATGACCTTTTTGTGCTTTGTTTAATGAATTTTGATCTGTGTTTTTAATTGCTACCCGTCAAGCACTTTAAATTACCTTCCACACGAATTGTGCAATAAAAATAAATAAATGTTGATAAATCACATCTGGCAGCAGAACCATAAAGTACACAGCTCATACCAAAGTTTGACAGCCTGTTCCTTTGACTGACATAAGTAGATCATGGCTGTTGTGTATGAAAACGCGTTAGGACATGAAACACTTGGGAAACCCTCTAAAATCTGACGTTTCGCTGTGTTTTACAAAATGTACAATTAGGCTGGCGACCCTCGACGCAGGGAACAAAAAGATGTCAAACTCAAACACGGCCCATGGGTCACGCTAAAACTAGACTAAAATGCCTTTACGTTAAGCTTAGTTAGCAGAATAAACCACAGACACAATGCAAGATATACATAATAACAAATAAAAGCACAGCGAGGCTTCATATTTAACCACAGCGCGAGAAGAAGCTAGCCTATGCTAATGGAAAATGCTAACCAATGCTAATGCTAACGCTAGCTAACTATGCTAATGGTAATGTAAACACCGCAGACCGAGGGCTATTCTCACACTCGTAAACTCGTCACGCGCACACGCTAGCAAAACTACAACTACTGCTAAGATTCTGTACCATCACAGACACCAGCAAAAAACCAAGAGATCGCTAATTATTGGGGCATGGTCGTGCAGAAACTAGCAAAAAGGGCATTCCCAGCAAACTAGCCGCCTCCAGCCTCAAGTCTACCCGACAACAACGCAGACAGGCCCGGGCCCCTGCGCCTGGGACTCGTCCGCACCACGTCAAAGCAAACACAGCCTGGTTTTGCACGTCTAAATATGTAATTCTTTGCAGCTGTGGCAAACCTTCAGATGCTAATGTTGTGAGGCAGAAAGGGGAATGTAGGGCAAGGCGGTTAAAGATGGCTGCTGCACAGAACAAAGCAACAATAAAACTAGGCAGGGGGAAAACTCGCCAAAGTCAGGGGTTCAGACTGTGGGATGCATCGCCTACTCACCCGATGTTTGGTTTAGATTATAATCCAAAGAATAGTGGAGGTGTATTCCCACAGATTACAGATTACTCGGAGGATGGAAGGCGATTGTAAAGCCCGATCTACATAGGTTGAATTGATTGTAGAGTTGTTGCTGGGGTCCTACCCGGCCTGAGACTGAGAGGCGCAGAGTCGGGCACCAGCGGCTGTGGGCGTGAGGAAGGATACAGCAGGGAGAGAGAGCAGGGGAGGACGGCGGCCATGTTGGTAGTACAGAAATAGTCTTATTTAAGAAAGTGAAGAAGGTCCTTTGTTTGTCCCACAGTGGGGAAATTTCAGTTTGATGAATATACATATACACATCAGCGCATTGCAGCGAACATTACTTTTTTGCTAAGTGTCTTGCGCAATGGCACAACAACAGCGGATCAGTGGAGTCGGTGGAGAAGGTCTCGTTCGAACCCACAACCTTCAGGCTCAAAGGCCAATGCTCTACCAACTAAGCCACTGTCAAGATATGTTGCTTTTTTTTCTTATTCCAAGGGAGACATTTCTTGTGTCTTCTTAAAACAAGTTAATTTTGCTTTGTTCCATTGGCAGATTTTGTGTAGACAGTTTAGGCAAGAATTATGAAGTGTATAAGATTAAGATGAAGAGATCCTTTATTCGTCCCACAGTGGGGAAATTTCTGTGTTGCGTCACAAGTATTAGAAAAGTAGGAAAGAGGAGCACACGGCACATGTGAACAATAGCTATACTAATACATTTGAAAAATAAAATCTCTAACTCTAGCATCAATAAAAGTATAGGATTGAGTAGGATTGGGTTTTGTGGTAAAGGATAAAACTCAAAAACAT